TGGGGTGCCCAGATAAACAGTGCTGTTGGGTGTGTCTATCTAGATCAACAGATAGATAGATAGATCTACATAAAAATATCTGTACTGGTAGATAGATAGTTATATAGATATTTCATTGGTCTGGAGAACCAGACCAATGGAGAACCCTAATACAAACTCCTAGAAATTTTGTTTAAGCTCCTAGAAACTGGTAAGATAAAGACCAACAAACAGAAAGAGACATGGACAAAGGCCCTGACAATATAGTTCGCAGAAAACACAAATGTCCTTTAAATATTTTTTAAAAATTGGGACCCCCTCACTCATAGTCAGAGACATGCAAATTAAAGTCATGCTGAGTAATGAGCCGACACTGGTTCCTTCATTGCAACAAATGCAAGAATTTAATAATAGGAGAAACTGTACGCAGAGATGGGAAGGGGGCAGTGGGTGTATAAAGCTGTATGTGCTATCTACTTGGTTACTCTGCAAGCCTAACGTTTCAAACTGTACTAAAATAATAAGGTCTAATTATTTCAAAATCGTTTTAGGGTACTATATTTTTTCATCAATCAGAGTGACGAAAACAAAATCCAAAAGATGCTGCTTGGCTGGTGATGCATTGTTGGTGAGGCTGCAAGAAGAGAGGCGCTCGTGTATCTCTGGGGTAACTGCACATTAGCACAGCCCTTGCGGAGGGAAATTTGGGGATCGCTGTCAAAAGGCAACCTTTGGCCCACCAACTCCACTTCTGGAATTCAGGCTACAAATGCGCTGATGTGCATGCAATAACACGTGGTGTGCAAAGTGTTCATTTTAGCGAAGAATGGAAACACATTCATCGATAGAAACTTAGTTACATACATTTCGGCACCGTGCATTCAACAGAAAATAAAGCGGAAAAAAAGAATGAGGATATTAAAACATCACCAATATTAACTGTGATAAATCCAAGGTGCAGAACAGTATTATGCTATATGCTGGTTTTACATACAAAAGTGTGTGTGTGTGTGTGTGAGAGAGAGAGAGAGAGAGAGAGAGAGAGAGAGAAACAAAGCAATCAATGGGCTCACAAAGAAGCCACTATCATGGCACCAGCCTTTGAGAAAACAAAAGCTCTACTGCAAGATGGCTAGCAAAGAGGCAGGAGAAAACGCTCAAATCTGTCTCCCCAAGCTGGGAGCTGAGTTGGGTCTTATAAGCATAGGATAATGAGGCAAGATCTGATTGGATGTTGCAATGTGGGTGATGCCAGGGCTCGATCTGATTGGATCCTGGGGCCCGCCATGCCGTGTCCGCTTCTTAATTTAGTCCCCGCTTTCCGTGGGGTGGAACACTTAGGTTCCGCCTATGGCTGCACGCTTGGTTCATCTGGACATTCTCCGGTTATAGGGCCTCCAACCCAGGGATCCCTGGCCGCCGAAAACAACTCGCAACTTTGTTACATAAAAGTTCAGCCGGATTGGTCTGGTGTAGTTACATGTGTTCATAGTGTGTGTGTGTGTGTGTGTGTGTGTGTGTGAAGGCATTATCTGTGAAAAGTGCTTGCTAAGAGCTGGAGGGTGGACGTCTGCATTGGGGGAAGGCATGTCATTATTTCATTGCATAACTACTTTCTCAAGAGTTAATGTTACCCATGTGAAAATTTAAATTTTTTTAAGCGTATTATGGGGGTACAAGTGTCAATGTTACTTATATTGCCCATGCCCCCCTCCCCCCTCGAGTAAGAGCTTCAAGCATGTCCATCCCCCAAACGTTGCACATCTCACTCGTTGTGGTTGTATACACCCGTCCCCTCCTCCCCCCTCCCCCCTCCCGACACCCGATAGATGTTACTCCTATCTGTCCACTTAGGTGTTGATCTGTTAATACCAATTTGCTGGTGAGTCCATGTGGTGCTTGTTTTTCCATTCTTGAGATGCTTCACTTAGTAGCATGGGTTCCAGCTCTATCCAGGAAAACACAAGAGGTGCTATTTCACCATTGTTTCTTAAAGCTGAGTAGTACTCCGTGGTATACATAGACCACATTTTATTAATCCACTCATGGTTGATGGGCATTTGGGTTGTTCCCACAGCTTTGCAATTGTGAACTGTGCTGCTATAAACATTCGAGTGCAGGTGTCTGAAAAGTTAAATTTTTTAGAGAATTCAAAAGGCCAGTGGAGGAGCAGGCAAACACAGGAGCAGTCTAAGAGACAGAGGCTCCCCTCGGGAAAAGAGAAGTGGGGGAGGTCATGACACAGACAGCCCCAAGAGCAGAGAATGAAGGCTTGCCAAAATCGTTGGTGAGCAGGGGTAGAGGAGGGAACCCCTAGTCCCCACCCAACGTGGGCTTTGTGGGGACTACGATAGGCAAATGCAGGTGGAGCCTGCTAGGAAGACATTTTTTTTTTTTTTTGGAGATGGAGTTGAGTCTCACTCTATTGCCCGGGCTAGAGTGCCGGGGTGTCAGCCTGGCTCAAAGCAACCTCCAACTCCTGGGCTCAAGCGATCCTCCTGCCTCAGCCTCCCAAGTAGCTGGGACTACAGGCATGCGCCACCATGCCCGGTTAATTTTTGGTAGAGACGGGGTCTCGCTCTTGCTCAGGCTGGCTTCCAACTCCTGACCTTGAGCGATCCTCCCGCCTCGGCCTCCCAGAGTGCTGGGATTACAGGCGTGAGCCACCACCGGGCCGGCCTAGGAAGCCATTCTTGAAACCCCAGCTGCCAGCACAGCACCTGACCTGTGACAGATGATCAAGAAGGGTTTGATAGAGTCATTCCCTTGATGTCTATTTATTGATGGCTTTATTACCTTCCAGGAGCTTTCTCTCATGAACCAGACAGTTTTTTTTTGCATGGGTGCAACGAATGAGAGGACGGCTCAGACGCCGGCATCCAAATGCCCAAAGGAGGGCTGGCACCACCAGGCCTCCCTGCCTGGGAAATGCCGTGTGGCTCCGTCTGGGCTGGGAGGGGACACTAGGGAGATGGCCCAGTGACAGTGAATCCCTAGTGGCTGCTCTGTCTCCTTACCCACCCCCTGATCCCAAAGCACACCCTCTCGCCCAAAGAACAGGTCTCAGGAGGCAAAGAGCAGAAACAAAATAATTAGCATCTTGCTCCTTAACAAAGAGCCATGGGGAAGGAGTCCCTCAGAGTCCCCAAACCATAAATATCCTGCTGGGCCCTGGCCCCACCCCACTCAGGCTGGGGGAGAGGGAGGGACATGAGAGTCTCTTCCATAGACACCAGCCTCGTCCCGGCCCCTTCCTGGGGACATAGCGCTGACCGCAGGGTCCTCTGGTGGCTGGGGGAGAAGGCGGTTTGCTGAAACTCTCCTCTTGGTGATGGTGTCCTGGCGAGCAAGTGAGAGAGGGGGAAGGGACTGAGCTGGGAGTGTGGGGGCTGGGGGAGAGGCGTCCATTGCCTTCCAGGATCAGAGAGACAGACAGAGAGACAGACAGAGAGAGAGACAGAGAGAGACAGAGAGAGAGCACCGAGAGCCACTCTAGCTTCTCTGAACGCACAAAGCGCACAGGGGCAGAGCGTCTGCGGCAGGGCAGGCAGAGGAAACACACGAAGAGCCTCCCCCGGGGGACACCTGCACACTCCGCACAGACTGTGCAGGACAGGTTGCCGTCCAAGTCAAAATAAAAAGTCGCTGACGTTAACGTTTTACTTGGAACGCAAGAATTGCTACTTGGGGCATACAGGCAGACCACGTGGTGGCCTTCAGGTATGCCCAAAGATCAAAGAGCAGGTTGGGGGTTTGCAAAAAAGAGAAATGTCACCTGTGGTCTTGAAAGAAAGGTCATTGGTATCAGTGAAGTTTTGGGGAGCCACGGTGGTGGGTAAGATTAGTCTTAGAGCCAGGGGCGCGGTGGCTCACGCCTGCCATCCCAGCACTCTGGGAGGCCGAGGAGGGAGGATCGCTCAAGGTCAGGAGTTCAAAACCAGCCTGAGCAAGAGCGAGACCCCGTCTCTACTAGAAATAGAAAGAAATTAATTATACTTCCAGAGTTCTTTCGCTGATTTCAAAAAAAAAAGAATAAAAAATTTAATATAAAAAGAAGAAATTAATTGGCCAACTAATATATATATATATATATATATATATATATATATAAAATAAATGAGCTGAGCATGGTGGTGCATGCTTTTCTTTCTGTGTCCGGTTTGTTTCGCCTAATATAACGTCCTCGAGTTTCGCCCATGTTGTTGTGAATGACAGGCTCTCCCTATTTCCTGAATGAACGGAATTCCACCGTGAATGGAGACCCGGTTCTCCTTATCCATTCATCTGTTTTTAACAGATGCTAAAATCCATCGCTGGTGGAAGGGCTAAAGGGAAGGAGAGAGGGAGGAAAGAAAAGAGGGAGGGGTATTAGGAAAGGAAGAGAAGGAAGAAAAGAAAACAGCCGGGTTCCCTTCACTGCGTATAGGGTTTTGGTTCAGGTTTGATTCTGCTTGACTTTGCTTTCTACAAAGCCCCACTTCAGTGAAGAGAAAGAACTGTGTTTATAGTCAGCACCAAACTTGACTATAAATAATTAGGTTAGGTCTTTGGGATGCTGACCGTCTGTGACTATCTGTACCTGGATAACTTGGCTTGGGGGTAACAGAAACCCACTGAAGATGGTTTGATGATAGCTTCGCACAAAGGATTTTTTTTTTTTTTTTGAGACACAGTCTCACTCTGTCACCCGGGATAGAGTGCCGTGGCGTCAGCCTCGCTCACAGCAGCCTCAAACTCCTGGGCTCAAGCAATCCTCCTGCCTCAGCCTCCCGAGTAGCTGGGACTACAGGCATGCGCCACCACGCCCGGCTAATTTTTTCTATATATGGTTTCAGTTGGCCAATTAATTTCTTTCTATTTATAGTAGAGACGGGGCCTCGCTCTTGCTCAGGCTGGTTTTGAACTCCTGACCTCGAGCGATCCTCCCACCTCGGCCTCCCAGAGTGCTGGGATGACAGGCGCGAGCCACCGCGCCCGGCCTGACTCCCCTCCCGTCTCTGTCCCCGGCAGCCAGGCCGCGCATGGAACCAGGAAACCAAACAGCGGTGTCAGAATTCATCCTCCTGGGACTCTCAGAAGAGCCGCAGCACCAAGCCCTCCTGTTTGGGGCGCTCCTGTGCGTGTACCTGGTCACCGTCTTTGGGAACCTCCTCATCAGCCTGGCCATCGTCTCAGACGCCCGCCTCCACACGCCCATGTACTTCTTCCTCTTCAACCTCTCTCTGGTCGACATCCTATTCTCCTCCACCACTGTCCCCAAGATGCTAGCGATCATCCACACCCGGAGCGGGGCCATCCCGTTGGCCGGCTGCCTGGCCCAGATGTACGCCTTCCACCTGTTCGGGACCATGGACAGCTTCCTCCTGGCCGCCATGGCCATCGACCGGTACGCGGCCGTGGTCCACCCGCTGCGGTACTCGGCCCTCATGAGCCCCCGCGCCTGCGGGCTGCTGCTGGGGGTGCCGTGGGTGGCCACCCACCTGCAGTCTCTCGTGCACACCTGTCTCATGGCTCAGCTGACCTTCTGCGCGGGCGCCCGGATCCCCCACTTCTTCTGCGACCTCATGCCCCTGCTGAAGCTCTCCTGCTCGGACACCCGCGCCAACAAGCTGGCGGTCCTGGCCTTCGGCGTGGCCATGGGCGTGAGCCCGCTCGCCTGCATCCTGCTCTCCTACCTCTGCATCTGCCGGGAGGTCTGCAGGGTCCCGTCGGCCCCGGGCAAGTGGAGGAAGGCCCTCTCCACCTGCGGCTCCCACCTCACGGTGGTGTCGCTGTTCTACGGCACCATCTTCGCCGTGTACTTGCAACCCGAGTCCCCCTCCTCCTCCTCCCGGAAGGACAAGGCGGCCGCCCTCATGTGTGGCGTGGTCATCCCCATGCTGAACCCCTTCATCTACAGCCTGAGGAACAAGGACATCAAGGCGGCCCTGCGGAAGCTCAGCGCCAACGCCGCCTCCTCGAGGTCCTAGGGCAGAGCCGGTGCTGTGAGCCCGCCGCGTTCCAGGGCCACTGCTGGTCCCGGGCTCAGGGGATCCTCCTGCCTCAGCTGCCCCACCCACCCCGGGATACAGCTGCTAACCCCGGCTGGTCTTTTTTTTTTTTTGTAGGCACGGGGTCTTGCTATGTTGCCCAGGCTGGTCTCGAACTCCTGGCCTCAGCCGGGCGCGGTGGCTCATGCCTGTAATCCTGGCACTCTGGGAGGCCGAGGCGGGCGGATCGCTCGAGGTCAGCGGTTCGAAACCAGCCTGAGCAAGAGCGAGACCCCGTCTCTACTGGGAATAGAAAGAAATTAATTGGCCAACTAAAAATATATATAGAAAAAATGAGCCGGGCGTGGTGGCTGCAATGCCGTGTAGATCCTCGCAGTCTACATTGTGGAGGGCGTGAGACAGAGAGGCATGTGAACATTGATCCAGGATGTTTGGAAGGTTAGCTGTGAGCCAGAGGCATGGAGTTCATCGGCTACGGCATTCTAGCTCCACGGGCATACAGGATGTGTACTTCCTGTCTTCAAAAAAACACAAACAGGGACGAAAGTAACATACAAGAAAAGAATACTCTAAGCTAATTCCCCACCGTCCAGTCCCTCAGAAGGAGATGGATGTTGATGTCAACGTAAGCGAGGGATATAGATGATGTTGTTAATTTGGTAGATAGTTCCGTTAGAGTAGGATAGGATTGTGATGTACAAGGTGGGTTAGACGTAGGGGTATAGAGATGACATGGGTCTCGCGTGCGAGTGTTTGAGTCTACGCGGTCTCAATTGAGTTCGGGCAACTTCTGGGAGGCTCTTGAGGCGGGGTAGATCTGTTGTTCGTGTTAGTCAGGAGTTTTGTATACTAGCCTTGTATGTCAGGGATGCTAGATCTGGAAGTTGGGTGAGGGGGTGGTAAGATGGTGGTCGGTGCTCGATTCAAATGGATGGATAGATAAGTGAATGGACAAACTAAAAATATATAGAGGAAAAATGTATGTCGGGCATAGTGGCAATGCCTGTAGAGTTCCTCAGCTACTCGGAGGCTGGAGGGCAGGGAGATTGAGGCTGCGCCCTGGTTTGAGGTCTGGAGGTTTTGGACTTGTGATGCAGAATTGTATGTCTTACGCCACCGGGCATTCCCCTTACGCTGGGCCAACAGAGTGATGGGATCTGGCTGTCGAAGAATAAAATTAAGTAGAATAAAATAATACTGCACGGTGCGCTGGCTGGGGTGTCGGCACGACGACAACATTGATGCCGACGGCTGAGAGTGGCTCTCAGTTTCCATGCTGCGAGTGGGGTTGTCCTCTATTTTAGTTGCAGCTCAATCTGCATTAATAGTTGTTTTTTTTTTTTTTTGAGACAGGGTCTTGCTCCTGTCACTCAGACCTAGAGCGCAGTGCTGGTCATTTGTAGAGGTCTGACTGCGCACTCTCTAGATCGTCCTGGTGGGCTCAGAGTGATCCTCTGCCTCAGTCGCTCCCGAGGGTACTTGGGGACCACCTATGGATGTTGTTCTGCCACCAGCCGCTAACTTTTTCTATTTTTTTGTAGAATTGGTGTTTAACTTCAGTTTCTTTGTTCAGCGTGGTCTCGAACTCTCTGACCTTCTAAGGAGTCCCCCACACTTTATGCTTAAGAGGGGTTGGGATTACGAGGTAGGGGGCTGCGTGTGACCCAGCGTCCATTGAATTCATTGTTTGTATTATTTTTATATTTGTATTTTTTTTTTGAGAATCAAGAAGTTATCGAATTTGGTAGCCCTCAGGGCTAGAGTGATGTTGTCTCTTGGTGGCGTCAGCCTCTTGTTTCTATCTATGCAGCCTATCATAACTCCTGGGCTCAATGCGATTCCTACCTGCACAACGCAGTCACCTCACCGATGGTAGCTGGACTACAGGCATGCTGCCACCATGTGAATGCCCTACTTAGATTTTTTTCTATATGAGTGTTGTGTTGTGGATGTTGTATGTTTAGGTATATTGGAGGTTGGGAATTTTAATTTACTTTTCTATTCACAGTAGAGAATCGTTGGGGGGTCCGCTTTTGTCTCAGGCTGGTTGCGATTGCCTCGAGTAAGTTACCTCCGCGCCTCGGCCTCTGTGATGCGAGATGCTAGGAATTAGCGATGTTGTGTGTTTGAGCATAACTCGGTGTTTTGGTGTTTGTTTGTTTTTGGCGCCGGTCTCTTTTTTTTTTTTTTTTTTTTTAATTTCAGCATATGATGGGGGTACAAATGTTAAGGTTACTTACAATGCCCTTTCCCCCCTCCCCCCTCGGGTCAGAGCTTCAAGCGTGGCCACCCCCCAGACGGTGCACATCTCACTCGTTGTTAAATCTTAAATAACATCCCTACAAGGTAGGTGATGTAACCACACTCCCTTTTTTTTTTTTTTTTACAAATGAGGAAACTGAGGCTTGCAAAGTAAAGCTACCAGTAAGTGGAAGCCAAGGTTCAAACACAGGACCCGTCTCAGAGCCCCCGATCTTGATGACACAGTATGTTTTCAAATTTGGAGACTAAAGCAGGGCTCTGCAGACTGCAGTCTAGAGCAGGGGTCCTCAAACTTTCTAAACAGGGGCCAGTTCGCTGTCCCTCAGGCCGCTGGAGGGCCGGACTACAGTTTTAAAAAAATCTATGAACAAATTCCTATGCACCCTGCACACACGTATCTTATTTTGAAGTAAAAATACAAACGGGCAGGCCGGGCGCGGTGGCTCACGCCTGTCATCCCAGCACTCTGGCGGACCGCCCGAGGCAGAGAGTAACTCGCTCAAGTCAGGAGTCCTCACTGCAGGACCAGCCTGAGCAACAGAAGCGAAGACCCCGTCTCCTACTTATAATAGAAGAATTAATTGGCAACTCAACTCATACTATATAGGAAAAATTAGGCGGGCATGGGTCGAGCGCGTCCCTGTAAGTCACGCTACTTCGGGCAGCGCTGCACGGCAGCGACAGGATCGCTTAGCCCAGGAGTCGGAGGTTGCATTGCAAGCTGGTGTAGGCTGCACGCCACGGCACCGCTCTAGCCTGGGCAACCAGACGCGATGCGACTTCTGTCTCCAAACAAAAAAGAAAAGCATAAACTGGGGACCAACACTAGGCTTTAGCGTCAGAGATGTGAGAGAACCGGTTCCGGGTGACCTTCTCTAGCTCCGCCTGCGGGTGGGCGTCGGTGAAGACGCGTCCAAAACTCTCCTGCTCGGACGCTCCTTCAATTTGAAAGCATCGCAGCTGCAGTTACAGGAAGTGGACACCAGGTGGCGATTAGTGCCATTTCATAAAATGGGTTTAAAAAAAAAAAAACGCCTGTGTCTTTTTTTTTTTTTTTTTTTGGTCAGAGACCTGCACTGTAGCTGTAATCTGGCCTAGTTTCACCGGGATGGGGCGGTGCACAGCAGAGTGGCAGAGCCCGTGACAAGTGACATTAAGCTACGGGGATGGACAAGGCCTGTCCCCTTCACACAACCGGAGCATGGTGAGGAACCACACCACAGATGAGACAGCAGCAAGATTTCATTCTGCGAGGGACCGGAGAGCCATGTCGTCAGGTTTACGGGACCCCTGTCTCCTGGCGCCCGATGACTCCGCTCTGCTGTTGCAGGAGGGCCGGAGCAGCCGGAGTGACGCCTCAAGGAATGGCCTGGCTGCTTACCATCAAACTTTACTTTATAAACACTGAAACTTAAACTGCATATCCTATGGCATGTCACAAAATGTAATCTTTTTGTTTCCAACGCGTTTCATTTGTTTTTTTTAACTGTTGATGTACAACAGAGTCTCGTTCTGTAGCTCAGGCTGGGGAAGGTGCCTGGACACAGCCGTATGTGTGTCACGCGCACATAGCTCACAGCAGCCTCTCAGACTCCTGGGGCTCAAGCGCGATCCTCCTGCCTAGCCTCCCGGAGTAGCTCGCGGCTGCACTACAGGCGTTCGCCCACCACGCCCGTAGCTAGCACTCTTTTCTATTTTTTTTTTTTTTTTTTTCTTGCAGAGACGGGGTCTCGCTCTTGCTCAGGCTGGTCTCGAACTCTTGGTCTCAAGCGATCCTCCCGCCTCGGCCTCCCAGAGTGCTGGGGGGACAGGGCTTGGGGGGAGGGGGCTGGAAGGTGGATAAGGGGCAGGAGTGGCCAGGCGCCGCTTCCCACAAAGCGTGAGAAAGACTCACTAAGCTAAGGTTTAGCTGAGGGAAAGCTAAGGTTCAGGCTGAAAGTCCCAGAGGGGCAGCTGTACTCCCCCAAAAGTCCATTTCCCAGGAACCTGTTGGGGGGTGGGGGTGCTTTCATCTCTGTAAACCCGTGTGGTTGGGGGGGTCCCCGAGATCACTCTCAGCTTCAGGGGTTCACAGAAGGACTCGTATAACTCAGCAAAGCTACCGTGGCCACGGCTCATCACAGCGAAAGGACGCACACTGAGATCCGCCGGGGCGAAAGTCGCAGCGCAGCCGCGTCCAGGAGGCGCCAGGCTTGAGCGCCGGGTGTCGTCTCCCAGCGGAGCGGAGCAGGCTGTGCTCTTCGTTCTTGCAGCCACGAGGTGCAATGACACATGCAGCAGGCCTGCAGCTGATGAAAGGGGACACGCTGGTGACAGGGCATGGGGGAGGGGGGATGCGAGGCTGGAGCTGGCCCCACCTCCCCCGCGCACCTCTGCTTCAGCTCCACAGCTGCCCGGACCGAGCCGGCTTTTGCAAGAGCAGCCTGGAGCACCCCCTGCCCTAACCTGGAAGTTGCCGGAGGTGACCGAGCCCCAGGCGGGGAGGCCGCTGGGAATGACGGCGGCAAAGGGTGGAGAGCGCCCGGGGTCTGCTCTGTCTTCCCCCGTCTCAGGGACTGAGGACCGCAGGGAGCTGGCAGGACGAGGGACTCGGCCTCACAGACACACGCTGCACCCTGATAACCACGGGATTTGGCCACCCCCTCGGGCAGGTGAGGGACCTGTCCTCCTCCACGCTTGGGATGCCCCAGGAGCCAGCCCCGAGCACCCTGAGCACG